CTCTGCATTATCTCTTCAATAAAATCTGTTAAACCTTTTCCCTGGTCTCCCTGTTCAGTCTTCAGCGTTTGGATCTGAACTTTAGTAAAATCATGACAGAAATAAGACAATGCAATTGCGTTTTCTTATTTTAAATGTAAATTGTCGTCTTCCATTGGAAAAATTTCTTTTACCTCCACAATTCAAAGACAAATGCACTTATTTTAATAAAAAATGACTTATCTACATTTTGATTTTTTTTTTCCAATGTGAGGTTCTGAGTTTGAGCCCCATTCCCACAGACTCCGGGTCTCTGAGCAAAGACCCTTAACCCCACACTGCTCGCTGGGCACCATGGCAGCCCACTGCTCCCCAAGAGGATGGGTTAAATGCAGAGAGTTAATTTCTCCATTGTGAGATCAATAAAGTTCAGTTATTCTATTATCATTCTATTTCTGAACAAAAGAAGAAAATGTCCTGGGTTGTTCTTTTTCTTTCATCTGCCCTCTTTTATCAATTATTTAGAAGCAATAATTATTTTTCTTCAAATAATAAGTTAATCTATAAAGAGAGAAATAACCTGAATTTACATCCCTTGATAAACCAAAGTTTTGGACTATATAAAAATGTATATTTTTAAAGGAATTGCAAATGGCCTATAATGCAGGTTTGTGACACAATATTTGACCATGAAAAAACAGATTTACCTTCACAAAGCCTCAGAAGGGCAAGATTTATGCACAAAAAGTAAACCTGTTCATGAAATTATGTTTTGTTTTTATAAAGGGTTTTTATAATGCTTTTTGTTGTTGACATTCATATAAATATACTGTTGTGATAACTTAGTATACGTCTCATTAGTTTTTGGTGTACATCTATTTAGAATTTATAGCGCCCCCTGGAGAAACCTCCACCAGCCGCCGCTGTTAGAAAGTCAATTAACAACAAATGAGGGATTGCATATATTTACGATGGTAAATTTCTTGCTGCAAAAGATTTTTACTTTTTATTTTTCCTTGTGTATTTATTATGCAAAACGTTGTATATGGAATGTTTGGGTAAATAACTAATCTAATCTCCAATAGAACTCACAATATGTTTTTTAGGCATATCAAAGTGAAAAACTCTTTGTACAAATACGCATCTGCTCCTTCCTGCCATTTCACTATGATCCACCTCTTTCTGTTGATCTTTCACACAAAATGTAAAACAGTAGGAAAAAAAGAAAATGTGCAGAATAATGTAGAACAGAATGATTGTTTGTGCAGGTTTGAACATAATGAAGAAGCTGGTGGTGTGCAGGCAGTTGCAGGTAATAGCTGTTTAATGTTTGTTTTCTGCCGTGCACCAATCTGTGTTTGACACCAAAGGTGTGTTTTTTAAACTGTGTCAAGCAGACACAATTACTCTGGCTTAAATGAACTGTGGAAGTTGCAATGAACTTAACTGGAGCAGACAAAAGAGGGAGGGGCTGCATGTCTGGAACCAGTAGTTCTGCAGCTTTAACCCCTTGAGCCCAACGGGCCCGGTACAGGGCCCAACTGATGTTTATCTATTTATAGATATGGCCAAAACACAGTCACATGTATTGCATCACATTTATTGCGCGTCAGTTTCTCACGTATGTGTGATTTTTTTTTTTTTGTGCAGCGTTAGATAAACCATGTGCAGAAGTAGTTTAACATGCGAGTAAGTTTATTTTGCTCGCGGGGGCTTTGAAATAAATGCGACGCCATTAAC